TGATTGTGTGTACAGCGTCTCTTTATGTCTATCTCCACGTTGGTTGAGTGTGGAGTGAGTGCACATGAGAGCATGAGGGTGGGAATGGATGTTTGTGTCTGTGTGTGCCTGTATGTCTGTGTCTATATGTCAGGTTGGGTATCAGACGCCACCTCTCTGGGGACACCTCAGGCCCTCCAAGGTTTGGAGGCCTATCTCCACCCACCACCACTTCCCCTGCCGGTGGCGGACTCCCTCAGGTGTCGGTGTGCTGGTGGTTCTTTGTGTCTGGGGGTGGGCGTCCGGGTACACACCGGCTCACTCCTTGGCGGCCGCTTGTCGGGGCCTGGGGCCTGGGGCTCGCTCGGGCCCCCTTTGGAGGTGGGGTGCCCCCGGCCTCTCGGCCTGGGGCTCGGTCACTCAGGCACAGCTGGGGGCCGGCGGAGCTCACGGGCGCGTCACTGCAACTCCCCCTGGCTTCTGCTCCGCGGCTGCTGGGCGAGCCCTCATCTGGGACTCTCCTCAGCTCTTACTGGAACAGTGGCGCGGCTGCCCCTCTGTTGGTCTTCCATGGTCTCTTGTGTTCTGGGGGCCTCTGGATGTCTGGAGTTTTGATCTCCTCCATACCCGCTTCACACCCTGGAGGACGGGGCTGTGGCCCCCCCACACTCCCTAGCAGATCATTACATGGAGAAACCTTTGGAATGCAAGCATGCTGATCCACACAGGTATGCACACAGGTGTACACATGGGTATTCACAGACGCGGACTAAAGCTTTCTTGGCTGCTGCCTCAAAGCACACTGTGCGCTGTCTATCTTGCGTGCTGCACAATATCGTTTATTATTAAGTAACTATTGATATCTATGACTAACTAGTTTATTGTGATGGTGCTTTGTTTTCTCTATTATTATGTTGCTCTTTGTTGTTTGCTGTCTCCTCTGTTTTTTTGTTTGTTTTTTTTCTCCATACAGGTGACCCAGGAGTTGTTTATTCCCCCCCCCTTCTCACCGTCTCTTCTCCCCTTTGGTTTTCTTTCTTTCTCTCCCCCTCTTTCTCTCATTCATTCCCCCTGTCCTATTTATTAAAAAAAAAAAAAAAAAAATGACAAAGGATGAACTGAAGCTCTGCCATCACGTAATGTCGCATACTGCTGTTTCTGATGTCATTTAGAAAAAAAAAAAAAAAAAAAAAAAAAAAAAAAAAAAAAAAAAAAAAAAAAAAAAAAAAAAAAAAAAAAAGATGAGGCATTAATACAACAGCTGTGCTACTGGGCTGAGGCCATTTACATTTCACCAGGGCCTGTGTTCAAGGCTGAGGCCAACTACATTTCACCAGGTCCTGTGTTGGTGGCTGATGCCATCCACAATACACAAGGGCCTGTGCTACTGGCTGATGCCATCCACATTTCACCAGGGATGGGGCTGGCTGACATCCACATTACACCAGGGCCAGTGCTCCCTGTGAAGCCATCTTCACCACACCAGGCCTGTGCTTTGCTGGCTGAGGCCATCATTCACCAGGGTGTGCTGCTCATGCCATCACATTACACCAGGGACAGTGCTTCCTGTGAGGCCATCTTCACCACACCAGGGCCTGTTCACTGGCTGGGCCATCCACATTTCACCAGGCCCTGTGTTTCTGGTTAAGGCAAACTACATTTCACCAGGGCGTATGTTGCTGGCTAAGGCCAACTACATTTCACCAGGGCCTGTGGTGCTGGCTGATGCCATCCACAATACACAATGGCCTGTGATTACTGTGAGGCATCTTCACCACTCCAGGGCCACTGTTGTTGGCTGAGGCCATACACATTACACCAGGGCCTGTGGTGCTGGCCAATACTATCCACATTTCACCAGGGCCTGTGCTGCTGTCTGAGGCCATCCACATTACACCAGGAACAGTGTTTCCTCTGAGGCCATCTTCACCCCACCAGTGCCTTGCTGCCCACTGGGCTGTGGTTCTGATCATATCATCACATTTCACCAGGGCCTGTGTCATGGCTGAGGCCAATTACATTTCACCAGGGCCTGTGTGTGCTGATGCCATCCACATTACACAGGGCCAGTGCTTCTGTGAGGCCATCTTCACCACACCAGGGCCTGTGCTGCTAGCCATCCCATTTCACCAGGGCTTTGTGTTGCTGTGGCCATCCACATTACACCAGAGCCAGTGTTTCCTTTGAGGTCATCATCACCACACTAGGGCCTGTGCTGCTCTCTGAGGCCATCCACATTACACAAGGTCCTGTGCTACTGGCTGATGCAATCCACATTGCAGCAGGGCCAGTGCTGCCTTTGAGGCCATCTTCACCCATCCAGGGCCAGTGGTGTTGGCTGAGGCCAACCACATTTCACAAGGGCCATTGTTGTTGGCTGTGGCCATCCACATTACAACAAGTCCTGTGCTAATGGCTGAGGCCAACTACATTTCACCAGGGCATATGTTGCCGGCTGAGGCCATCTAAATTTCACCAGGCACTGTGTCGTTGCTTAGGCCATCCACATTACAACAGGTCCTGTACTAATGGCTGAGGCCAACTACATTTCACCAGAGCAATGTGCTCCCTGTGAGGCCATCTTCACCACACCAGGGCCTTTGGTGCTGGCCAATACGATCCACATTACACAGGGCCAGTGTTGTTGGCTGAGGCCATACACATTACACCACGGACAATTCTTCCTGTGAGGCCATCTTCACCACTCCAGGGCCACTGTTGTTGGCTGAGGCCATACACATTACACCAGGGCCTGTGGTGCTGGCCAATATATCCACATTTCACCAGGGCCTGTGCTGCTGTCTGAGGCCATCCACATTACACCAGGAACAGTGTTTCCTTTAGGCCATCTTCACCCCACCAGTGCCTCTGCTGCCCACCTGGGCCTGTGGTTCTGACCGATATCATGCACATTTCACCAGGGCCTGTGTTCATGGTTGAGGCCAACTACATTTCACCAGGGCCTGGGTTGTTGGCTGATACCATCCACAGTACACAAGGCCCTCATTTCAAAGAACTTAATTAAATTTGGTGTTACCAATTGAAATAATTCAATTAAGTTGGTTCAACTATTTTCTTTTTTCAGTGTAGGTGAGTGCCACAGTGACAGTGTTTCTGCATTGTACAGCAAAACAGTCCATTTAAATTGTGAGATAACCTACACAGAACTAGGCAAGCAAACCAGCCAATGTGTTTCAAAGTGAAAAATATTTGCACAATGTTTAGACAAAGGAGCCACTTCTGTGATAATGGCTGTGGGTGTTCATGAGGTTACCTTGAGCCGTCTTGAAATAATTCCTACATATGCTGAGCATGTCTTGGGTACTTTACCCTCACTCCAAGGACATGCTCATCCCAAACTATCTGAAGCAATTTGCTCAAATGCAGTTCTGAACCTTTCTCTTAATCTGATAAAGGTGCATGTGACAATGCCAAGATTAAATTAGATACTCCCTATCATATTGTGCCAATTTACCCTAATGAGAAAACAAGTGTTCGTCTTGTGTCCTGCACACTCCCAGTCCTCTCGCCCAAACTGATATATGTACAGTAGTGATGTTGTGTGCTACAAACGCTTCTGACAAAATTTTTCAAAAAACTTAAGTTAATGTGTGAAAACAGCTTCAGTAGGGTTTAGGTTGGGTGCTTTTGGAGTTCTCTGCTTTTTAAATTATTTTTTTTCCAAACTATCATTGCAGAAGTGCGATGTGTTTTGGCTCATGGTTCTATAGAAAAGAAATGAAGGTCCCGCTGATCTTAGGGGTTGGCCCTGCTGTCCGACTTAAGCACATTTCTAGCAGTAGCAAATTTGCCCCACAACATCAATACAGAAAGTGAACTTACCCTTAGAAAACCCATACAGCGGCCCTAAAGGGCAAAACTGCTGTGGTTCCTGTGTGAGCACACCCACTTGGGTCTTGGGTGGGATGACTGTGGGTTTGCCCTGCCCACACACCCCCACAGTTCATCCACATCTAACCAATGTTGGCCTTGGTATGTTGGCTGGGTATTAGTTCACAGTTCTTCTAAAGTTTATGAATCAATAAAAAAAAAAAAAGGAAGGCCTTGAATGCGAACTCTTGACTGGCATAAACAAGGATGTACTTTTATTGTGTCTGTCAAGACACAAGTTATTTTCTGACACTCATTATCACTTCTATGCTAATGACATTCAGTTGTACATGTCTTTTAAGGTCCAACAGCTGGATAGTCCACTGTTTAGTGATTGGTTCTCTAACAATGACCTCGTCTTAAACTGGTCTTAGTTCATTTTGTTCAGCAGTTAAATCCAGTGTTTAAAGTCTTGGTGTAATATTTGATTCTTCTCTGGGTTTTGGCAGTAAAGTCTATCTTACCAGGAGAGTCTTTTTCCTGTTTTTTTTCTAATTTATGTAACATTTCTGAATTGCAACATATGGTCTCTTTGGTGGATCTGGAGAAAATTAGTGATGCATTTGCATCATTGCACTTAGATTACTGTAATGCCTTGTTTTCTGGCTTGGGTAAATTCTCATTAATGTCTTTCGAAAGCAATAAAGCAAGGGAACTGTAATAAGACTATTAACACATTCAGCAGCCGAGCTCAAATCACTACCATTTTATATTCTTTAAACTGGCTCTCAGTAGATTCTACAATTTGGTTTCACATACAGAGCACTTAATGGCCAGGCTCCGGACTGTTTGCCTTATCTTCTACCAAGCACACCTCTGCTTGTAGGCTTTGATGACAGGCTCAGAATCTAATGGTCATTCCACATACAAAAGGGCAGAGATTTAGAGCAGTCTCTCGCAACAATTAACTTTAGCTGACTCTGTGGACTCTTTCTAAAACCAGTTAAGAATCTTTTTTTAGTTTAATCAGGCTTTTCTTTGATACTTTTAATGATTTTATATTTTCGTTTTGATCTTAAATTGTTTTTGTATTGTTTTTATGGTGTTTAATTTCCTTATTTATTTTACTCGGTTTTGTGACCACTTGTCACAAAAAAATAACGGTCACTTACTTATGTTGCTCTCTATAGTATTTGGCAAAGAAGCTCGGCTTCGACACGTTGTGGTTTGGTTATTTGCAAACTACAGTTGGAGTTATTCAGCTGCTCGGGGGCCCAATGTTTGGAAGGTGAGTTTCTGTTCGCTATTTTTTGCTTGGACATTGCTCTTTACTGTTTGCCAACAGTCGGAACACAGTGTAGAAAAATGTGACTGTAGGGTCTGTTGTTTTTTTTTTTGGCAGGTTTGCAGATCTATTTGGGGCACGGACAGCTTTGTCCCTGGCATGTGCTTCAACTGTTGTCTTCTTTCTGCTGCTGGCCACAGCAGACACTCCAGCCATGTTGTTCATCCATAAAATCCCCACAGTCTTTATGCATGTCCTCCCTGGTGAGCATCAAACCTACCGTTTTTTTATCCTTTGCTAACAATGTGGCTGAACTATTTTTACATTTATTCAGATTTATTCTAAATGTTAATTTTATTTATCCTGAATCAAGTTTCACTTGATTTTCTTCTTTGTCCCACCTGTGTCTGCAGCATCACAAATGGTTGTTACAGACCTTACAAAACCTGAGAAACGGGCCGACGCCTTATCCAAGCTTGGTCTGTGTTTTGGCATCGGTATGATAGTTGGCTCCACATTAGGCGGACAGCTGAGCAAACTCTATGGGTTAGTGTCACAGTGTGTATCATTAACAGCAGCACTGGTGTGAAACCAAGCTGAGCAACCATTGACTCTTTGACAGAGCCAAAGGAAATAAAAAACATCTCTGGTTTAGGAAGACATTTTGGCTTAGGTTGGAATATTGCGCTTTTATGAAACATGGAAATCAGTCATTGTGTGTGTTTACCAAAAGTGTCCCCTATACAGCACCTTTACTTTGTATTTCTCAGGGAGAAGTTTACTGCATGTTTTGGTACTGCAGGGAGTGCCTTCAGCTTGCTGTTGGTTTTAAAGTTCATCCCCAAAAATACAAAAGCTGAAACAACCAGAGGCAACACTACAGGTAAGACATACCTACTTCCTTTCAACCTAATGGTCTCAGCTGTCTAGGTACAAAGTGGCCTTGGCTTCATGATCACAACAACAGGGATGAGCTGGTAATTTGAATCTAGCTGTCTTCATTGCACACATAAAAATTACTCAACTGGATTTTGTCACTCTCAGCTGCACTCAAACATAGTTTTTGTTATTTTTTTCTTTAAAAAACCATGACTCTGCTCTTACTTTTTTTTTCTTTCTTTCACATTTTGGATCATCTCATAGCAAACCGTTGATGCCAGTCTTTAAAATTCCATGTAATAATCCAGGTAGATTATTATCAGAATACCACTGAGTCTCTGATGTTGTGTTACTGTATCATCTTCCATAATTACATACTCAAATGTGCTTAAAATTGCAGTGTGCCATTCTTTTCCGTATAGATGTATTTTAAAAAGAAAAAAGGTAATACATCTATATTTTTAGAGATGTTTGGAGAGAGTCACCTTTTGGTTGCAAATAATCCAAAGCCATGGTATGGAATGTCTGTAAAGGTTCTCAGTCATCCAGGTCATCGGAGTTTGCAAAGAAAACTGTCTGGACTTCTTTAAGTTGCTAGAAGACATTTCACCTTTCATTCGAGAGCAGCACTGAAATTTCCCTGGGACTTCTCTACATACATGTTATCCTACCTTGACTTATTGGTAGAAACACATAATGAGATGGTAATTGTACCTCTTGCACTTTGATTTTACTTCAGATGACAACAGAAGAAAGTCAGTATTCAATCTGAGTGAGATTACGAGGCTGATGAAGTTTCCAACAGTGATGCAGACTTTCATTATCAAGATAGTCGCAGGTTTGCCATCAGGTGAGACTTGAAGTGTGAAGATGTTTTGGTTTAAGCCTTTGCAATATACAAATGTTGTGTCTCTTCCTAATATCACTGTGTTTAAGTTACACACTCTTTAAATGTTTTTCTTTTTTGCCATTTTGTTTTTGGAGGTTACCTATGGTGATATGTTCTGATTGGGCTCATTTACATTTATGTGTATTAAAATGGGTATGAATATGTAGCTAAATTTGTGGATGCTCATGTTAAACCAGGACAAAATTTTAAATAATTCTGGTCAAACATCTGTGAGCCAAATGTTCAGGCTTCATACTCTTGTGATGGCTCAGCTATAAAAGGCTCGATGGGGGTTCGTCATCACCCTGCTGGGCAGGCAGGTGGGCAGCATGGACCCCCAGATTTGTGAATGCGATAACTCGAGAAAAAGGCAACATAGGAGTTTCAAATTGATACCATAGGTGTTTCTACTAAAAGGTTCTGATGAGTTTGAATCCTGAAGTTTTGTGAAAACCTTGTGAACACGATAATTTGAGAACAAGGCAGAGTACACAGAAGCCCCAACTGGACCTTCTGGAATTGCAAGGAGCAGCCAATTGGAAGCAAGTTTGTGTAAAGGGAAGTTGGCCTTACAGGAGCAGGCTTTAGACAAATGGCACCAAGAATAACTTCAAGATAAATACAACTGTAACATGTCTGTGAAGGTTCTCAGTCATCCAGGTCATCGTAATCTAAGGAGCTTGCAAAGAAAAGCGTCTGGACTTCTTTAAGTTGCTTGAAGACGTTTCACCTCTCATCCGAGAAGCGTCAAATGGTGGGGAGTCCCAGATTTAAACCTAGTGGGAGTATCCCCCCACAGAGGGACAAAAGGACCCCCTGATGATCCTCTAATCGCCTGAGCCAAGGCGTATCTTGAGCCAAGGTGTAGCTTCTCGGATGAAAGGTGAAACGTCTTCAAGCAACTTAAAGAAGTCCAGACGCTTTTCTTTGCAAGCTCCTTTGAATACAACTGTAACATTGTAAATCAGCATATTAGGCCAGCACTGAAGTTAAGCGATCGTGGCTCAAGAGTTGGGAGTTCGCCTTGTAATCGGAAGGTTGCCGGTTCGAGCCCCGGCTCGGACAGTCTTGGTCGTTGTGTCCTTGGGCAAGACACTTCACCCGTTGCCTACTGGTGGTGGTCAGAGGGCCCGGTGGCGCCAGTGTCCGGCAGCCTCGCCTCTGTCAGTGTGCCCCAGGGCGGCTGTGGCTACAATGTAGCTTGCCATCACCAGTGTGTGAATGGGTGGATGACTGGATATGTAAAGCGCTTTGGGGTCCTTAGGGACTAGTAAAAGCGCTATATAAATACAGGACATTTAAGCAGCCCTGAAAACATTTTGCAAACAGAAAATTAAATTGCCACAAAGAGACACAAAGCCAACTTTGATGGTGTCATCATAAATCATATGTAAATCTAACAAAATTGTTTTGTGCTCGAAGGCATTTTTCAAGTGATGTTTTCTATCATTGCACTGGAGTTCTTTAAGCTGCAACCTGAGCAGAATGGCTACCTGATGGCCTATTTTGGCATCGTCCAAATGGTAAGACTGAAATCCAAAATGAATTGGTGCATTTTAGCCTTTTCAAGTTTTCTACGTTTTGTTATATTACAGACCAAAATTCACTTATGATTCACTTGTTGAATTTAGACTAAATGACAAATTAAGGAACAGGTTTTTGGAGTATTTTGTTTGTTTTTCTTTTTTCTTTAACAACTGAAAGAATAAAACACAGTGTTTGCAGACGTATCCTTGCTCGCACTTGGGGTTGAGCTCTGATGGTTCCTACATGAAACAACAGTCCCCAATATGCTTCAATAACTTCATTAGACCTGTGATTAGTTGAATTCATGAATTAGGAAAGTTACTTACAGATCTGTTTAAGGTCTTGCAGTTGTCAGACTAAAAAAACCCAACCTGTGATAGCCTCTTATTGTCAGATGGGGAACTTTTGGAACCACCAACAGTCGTCCAAGATATTCCAATATAGCTAAGCTAAGTAGTCTGGTCTTTGTCAGAGAGATTACCAAGAAGCCAGTGGTCACTGACTAAAAGATTCACTTTTTATTTTTTTTGTAGAAAACTCTAAAGGATCTGAAAACTTTTCAAATGGACTGTATGTGATATGTTGGGGGGTTGAGCTTAAGCTTATACCAGACTGCAAGATGAAATGAGTAAAACCCAGATGTTTGTTCAGGTTATTCAAGGAGGAGTGATCGGTCGGCTTACGGCAAGATACTCTGACAATTCATTGCTGCTTCTATCCATTGGAGTGTCCTCTTTTGTGGGACTGGCTCAGGTATGCACAAAACATAAGCACACACCCCTTAGAGAGAAAGTATTCACTCAAGTACTTCATAGCTTTTCTTTTTAAGAAGCAAAACTCTTGTCTTAGCTTGATGAAAAAAAATGTTTCCATTGTTTGATGCAAATAAAATGAAAAGTTTTAACCCCCCTTTTTTTTTTACCATGAGGTTTTTTTTTTTTTATAGTAAATCTTACTACAACTTTTACTATTGCTTGGTATTGAACTTCTGTGATATTGTGCTTGTACTTATTTGAATACTTGTTCACCTGTATACAAGTGTGAATTTGTTAGGGTATTTTTTGTTTGTTTTATTATCATGAATGTGTTCATGTTTCTTGGTGTTTAGCAGCTCAGATAAGAGCCCAAGAGCTTGTTCAACAGCTTGAGATTGCTGGTTGGCACCGGGTGAAATCCGTCACAAACAGGTTGCTGCAGCCGAAACCTCTTTGTGATTGGTTTGGTTGCTGCTAGAGTACTGCGGCCACTCATAGTTTGCATGGAAGGAATGTCAACTAATTAACTTGAAAAAGTGAAAGGTGAAAATGTCCGTCGCAAACATTAAATGGAGAGCGTTCGGTGACCAGAGGATATCAAGTGCTCGGTGACTGCTTTAGGCCTGCATGGCTGGGACTTCCAATGGACTGTGAACCACTCACAACTAGTTGAGAAATACTCAATTTTCCCCAACAACTGGTGGTTGCCAAGTGGTTGGTAACCACCAGTTGTGACTGGGGCGTAAAACTGTATCAATTCATAGCAGAGCTTTGAATTGATACATCAATATGCTAACAGCCACATTTACATGTTTCGTACATGGTGCTGCCCCTAACAGGCCTCACTATCAGTTAACCCCTTTGCCACACTGCCAAAGCCCCTTAAGACAGATATTTGGATTCACAGCTGAATTGGGGAGTGTCATCAAATCAAATCAAAATTTATTTCTATAGCACATAATAATACATCAAAGTTGACCAAAGTCCTTCAAAGTTGGTCAGAGCAATAGTATAAGACAGAATAAAAAGAAACAGTTAAAAGGAGGGCAGGAAACAATATGAACAATATGGGTAAAAAAAAAATCCTCATAGAAATCCAGAGCAAAAACTTAATCAATAGCACAGCCCATTAGAGTTCTGCTGCAGGCATTTCTTTGGACTCGTTGTGACAGCAACCCCTATTAAACATAATTACCTAGCAATGAATATAATGTGCCATTGAACCCCTTGCTGAAAACTGTTTATTTCTGATATTTCTCTGTACAGGCATATATACAGAATGTGTGGCAGTTCTGCTTTAACATCCTCCCGATGATGTTTTCTCTCAGTGTGTTTAATGCCATCACAGACAGCATGCTCACCAAGAGTGTACCGTCCTCTGACACAGGTGAGACCATCCCGCTTTACTTTATTACAACCAGATGGTGTTTGACAGGCTCTACTTTTAAAAAGCTTTATTTTAGATCACTTGATGTGTGACTGCATTTGAATAAAGCTGCTTTAAACTTAAAGAAGCAAAGACACTCCAGCATTCCAAGATAAAATGTAATAATATCAAATAAAATGGTTTAGAAAACTACAGGTGAACCTATTGTGAAATAGTGTAAAGAATTATTGCCAGTTTTAATCTTGTTCTCATTTGCAGGCACAATGCTGGGACTGTGCGCATCTGTTCAATCTCTGCTTCGCACAGTTGGACCTACTATAGGGGGCTTCCTGTATGTGAACTACGGCATTTCCTCTATAGGTTTAATCCAGTTTTTCGTGAATATTGCTGTGTTTGTCTACCTGCTACAGCGACGACTCAACAAGACAGCCGAGCAGCGAAAGTGACACCTCTGTCTTTTTGTCTCACTTGTTCAAAAACTCAAAAAAGGAGAGGAGATGGAAATCAGCTGTTGATTTTAAAAACAAGCATCATATACACACATATTTCCCTTTTTTTAGTAACTGCCATAATTAGATCATATCCCATTATTCCAGATTTTGTGCTGTTCAAGTTTCTGTTGATTCAGTGTCAGATCACTAGATGGCACCAAATCCTCTATTTTACTGGCTGATGGTTTTATTGGCTCGTTGTTCACATAAACATCAGAGTTTAATCAGTTTGATTATGATTGAAAACAGGGCCAACTCCATTGCTACTACAATTTAGAATAAAAGTTAATTTTCTTAAGTTATTGTTTTGCATTAAACTTTTGGAAATGCTTTTGTTTTTTCTATATAAATTTAAAGTCAGGAATGCACTGTAGACTTGCCTTTGCACTGAAAAGGACCAATCTTAACCATGCTTTTTAATGGCTGTAAACTTTCATATAAATAAATGTGTGAGGGGGAAAAAAAGCAAATTTAATAATAATAATTGCCAGAATAGTTCAGAGACTTTGATGCCAGTGCTGTCCTGGTACACCCTTAGTATCACCCAGCCAGGCTTCAACTCACCACTGTAAGTAAACTACTTTTATTTACTTGTTCATATTTAGGTTTAGAATGATGTGGTGAAAAAAAGTGAACTGATAAAATACAACATGTTAAAGATTAAACCAGTGGTTACCAAACCTTTTTTGTTCTGTTTCACCTCATGTTAAACATGTGATGTATATAAAGTCGCTGGAGCGTTTCTGGGTATTTTGGCAACCCACAAAAAGTCTTAAGTGCCCCCAATATCCAGTAACCACCAACTGTAATTAAGTAACTAAAATACATTTACAGAGCTTAACTAGTGTCCTCTGATTTTGCTTACCTTTGTTCACTTTAACTTTTGAAAAGTATATTTTCAATACTTTTCAAAAGTATTGAAAATATTAAATATAGGTTTGATTTCTTTGCATGTGTGGATTGGATGGGATGTTACTGACATCTGGTGAGAAGTTCATCTCGATAGCACATTTAGAAATACATCTACTTAGAAAACTGGTGACGTGTTCAAAACTAATTTTACCTGCTGTATTTAAAATTATTGAATATTTCAGACCTAAAGCATTCATTAACTCTTTATTTATTTCTTGTATATTTCTTATACAGTTTAGAAACACAGATCAGTTTTGGTTTAGCATTTTTAGCATCCAGCTGTGTGCTGTGTAAGTGACATCAGTGTCACCAGTAGAGTTTCTCCTTATACAAACTAAGCAGTCCAGATGAACACAAAATACATGATTGTGTGTGTATCTTGCTCTCTCTAGATCACACAGCGCAGTGTGAATAGGGATTCTTGTTTATACACCAGGTGACTCAGGTGTAATTGTAGTAAACAGAGTCACAATAAAGATTAGGATTAAAGATTAAGATTAAATTTCCAGCATATGTCAGCCTGTTCATGGTATCAAGTACTGGAGCTAGCAGGAATGGACTACCCACACAGAGTGTCTGATGAAGCAGTTGATGGAGGGGCTGAAAGTGCTTGAAAGCTGTCCTCTGCCTTAATGAAGATCAAAGAAATTAGCAAGAAGGTGTTTAAAAGGAAGTCGAAATGCCTATAATAGCTTGGCTCAATGACAGGCTGCTGTAGATGAAGCAATTGTAGAAATGTTCAGAGCTCGCATCACTGAGCTAGCGGCAGAGAGGTCTTCCACACGGCGTACCGGTAGAAATGTAGTTTTTACTACATGTATTCTTATAGGCTTCCTTGTCCTGACGTTTCGACTTAAGATAAAAGAAAATTTAAGAAATCATTTAAGCAAATGCTGAGAGAACTTAATTCAGAGAGTAAACAAACCACAAATGTATAAAAATAAAAACTGGCCATAGCCAAATCTCTGCACCTGGTGATAAAAACACTCAACAGAAGGTCAGAACAGCCTTTCTTGAGGATAATTCAATAATATGACACAGGCCGATATGAGTTCCTGGATATTCCAAAGGAAAAACCAAATCCTTCCAACCCATCACACCCTCCTTGAGTGTGGTTTTGCTGGAGGTTTCTTCCTGTTGAAAGGGAGTTTTTCTGTCCCACTGCTGCCAAGGGCTTGCTCTGATTTGGAGGGTTTCTGTCTAACAATGTAAGATCTTTACTCTGCAATATAAAGAACCTTGAGACAGCTGTTAGTGTGGCGTTATATTAATATACTGAATTAAAGTGAATTCTTTGTCCATGCTTAAAGAAACACTAAGAACAAATCTACTTTGGCCTGAACTTTAAAACGAAATCAGAAATCTGGTAAAAAAAAAAATGTTGAAATATCATCTTAAAATCAAAATCAGTCCAGGCTTCGTCCTTCACACAGTTCATAATAACTACATGAAGGAAGAGATTTTTTTCTCTTCCTTCATGTTGTTTATATAAGCTGTGTGATGGTAGAGGAAATATGCATATTATGGAGAAGAAATATACTTCAATGGGGATTTGTAAAAAAATTTTAATCAAATTTAATCAGGAAGTTTCTGAATTGGTGTTTTCATAATGGTATTGTCTATCTTTTATTATTAAAATCATTAACTTTAATCAAACATTCATGTAAAGGGCATGCAAAAATAATTTTTGCATAGTGTTGCAGACATGTTCCAAATACATTTCTTTTATTCAACATTTCATGAAGAAAGAGCAAAGAAAACCGAATACGTGCATCTGTGGATTGAGTGACATTTGTGAGGACTGCCTTTGCCAGAGTTGGCTATTCTGTGCAGCTCAGATCAGTCTGGAGTGATTTGGATGAGTGAATAAGTCTGGAGTTAAATAAAAAGTGAATTAAAAAAAAAAGTATTTGTATCAAAAAAATAGCTCACATAAAAAATTTCCATACTCTGAGAGGGATAAATAAAACCTTCATCACAGTGTGGACAGTAGTCTGCTTCCTCTGGCTGTCAAGCTGCTGCATGTTGGAGTGATGTCATAAAATCTGGAGCAGGTGTTTTAAATAAAAAATCTAGATTAAAACTGCATTTACTTACAAGGGTGTTTAGAAAACACCTTTTAAATGATGATTAAAGTAAAACCCCCAAAAGCCAAAGCGAGAAGATAGGAAGGATGTGTTTAATAAGTTTTAGTTGGCACCCTGCTCAGGTGAACCTCACCTTTAATGTGATCAGCTGCCTCAGTGTGAATTCTATCTTTTCAGGCTGATCCCACACCTGCCCACACTCATTACTCGCTGGAGTCCAAGCCATCAAATGTCTTCCATAGGTGTAGAGTGTCAGTGCAGCTCGTAAAACACAAGGAGCATTATTATTATTAACCTTTATTTTACCAGGAAAAGTCCCATTGAGATTAAAAACCTCTTTTTCAAGGGAGTCCTGGCCAAGAGGCAACAACATGTTAAAATTACAAAGTTACATACATGTTATAAGTAACATAGCATGCTCTTGAATCTCCTGTCTTTATGTGAGTCAAAGGAGCTGCAGATGGAGCTGAAGGGTGTCACTGTATACGGACCCAGGCCGGGGGGGGTGATGCAGTCCTGACCACTGGAGGGGGTGCCTTGTTACACTTGGCCATTTGAGTCAGGGGGACCTGGGACAATGCTGCTGTTAACACTCCTGATGGGGACCTTTGGGTCCTCTGAAAGTTTAATGTGACTCTGCGAGCGACCTACACTCACTGAGGTCAGAGATGAGCGCTGCCCGGCGATGGTCCAGGGTTTCCTTGTGTCAGCGCACTGGAAACTAAATGCCAGTGGGGGGGGGCGTCAGGTCCCAGGCTTGTTTTGTCCCCTGTGGTATAGATAATGAGGCATCTGTCTCCACCTGCCGCATGGAGAGATGAGGCTCACTGTCTCTTTTAAAAAGAGCACAGGTTACCTATCTGATTTGTTCGAGGCAGGCCAGGGACATGATCTGTAGCAGAGAAGCCGTCAGTCTAAATGTTTTATACCGAGGCTTTCTTACTTCATTCTGTGCAGCACCACACGGTGCTCCTTATCAGAAGCACACTGATCAGTGTCTTGTGAGGTACATCTAGAAAATTACCATCCATATCAATCAAACATGAGACAGTCTAACCAAAATGTAATTACTTTCACCCCAAGTCAGTGCGACTTTTGTCCATTAGGTAATAGTCTTTAATTACGTCGGTAAAAGAATGTCATGAACTGTTTTACAGCAGAGTGCTGATTCTTGTTCAGAGTTTATAAAAACCTGATGTGTACATGACAGAAGCTCAACATGGCTGCACAGCTCCTGGTCCATCATCCTTCCAGCAGACCTCATGGAACTCTTGGAGTTGGCCACTGGAGTGAAAGGTGATCTTAGGGTTTTTTTGTCTTGGTGTAATCAGACAGCGACATCATCAATCATGAGCAGGGGAATTACAGTGGGTTACAATAGGTGATAAGATAATGAGTGGGGCCACAGCGACCTGGTGAGGGACAGCTCGAGTTCCCGTTCTGATTACACGGCAGCGGCTTGACTTTGTTGTAAACGGCTGAGGACACTGGCTGTGCAATTCCAAGATGAAGAAAGGAGTTTTTTTTTCTAATTGTGTCAGGCCTATGAAGTTAAAATTAAAATATTTATTTATATTTAATTTTTGTTTTCAGACAGACATGTGATATATACATATAATGCATGAAATGGCAATAATGCAATTTCTAAAGGGTTTCAGCAGATTATGAGATCATTGTGTAGCAGGTAGACTTAAACTACAGAATCAGTGAAGTTGAATAAAAATGGACGAATACTATTAGTTACCATCCATCTATCTATTTTGTCCCTACTTATCCAGTTCAGGGTAGTGGTGATGTGGTCCTATCCCAGCTGCCACAGGGTGAGAAGCAGGGTACATCCTGGACCTTCATGGTGCCATGGGCTTTGGACTGTTTGGGTTTTGCTTCTTTTAATCATTGGTTGTATTATTTATATTTGTCCTTTATCTCCCGGCATTCTCAGTTCCTTGATTAAGTACTATTTAGTTTATTCCCTTTTGTGTTTCATTCTGTTCTGTTTTCTCTGGAGTAAATATCAAATGTGCACTGACCAGCTATCATTTGCTCTATTTTCAGAGTCATTTCAGTTGCTTTCATGAGATTGTGAGAAGTGGAAAAAGTCCAGGGTGTGTGTTGTTTCACACATTTGAAGACAAGCTGCCCCCTCCTCAGTGAAGAGCATGCTCAGCCTTGTGTCAGGAGGCTCAGAGCCCCATGACGCCTGGCCTGTCCTGCACGCTCTGGTCCACACTCTCACTCCCTGACATGTGCCAGCGATCGCTAATCCTCCACTGACGCCTCTCGGAAGCATCACATTCAACAACAGAACAATAAATGCCCACTGCACTGACCTCAGAGGATTGTCGCCTCTTGCTACATCAGCCAGGATCTCCCATCCTCTGCTTGTGGAAGACCATATTGGTTACATAGAAGCTAATATGGCATAACACAAAAGGCTTCTTTATGACACATGTGGCTGCATGAAAAGTCTTTGTTGTCTTTAGGATTAAGAGTTGGAGATTTGAATGTTTGAAGGTAATATGTCTAAAAGACAGGATGTTGATTGAATTTTAATTACAGCAGAGCCGATTAGATAACAATATGGTGCAGGAGTTAAAAGCGGGAAACATGTGCGTCTGTTTGAATTTCCAGCCATAAGCTTTGTTTGGATGTTGTTTGGATGACTCATACAGAGCAGCATCTGTGTTCTCCAGAGATAAATCTGACCATTATTGGTCATATTGTTTAGACTATCCTGTATGATGTAATGACATGTTGTGTGGGTATTTTGAGTTCTTAATACAGCAGAAACAATTGAAGTTATTGCTGGATTTATCTGGGATTTACTGTAGCTGGATGGGTCCATTTCAAAATTCAGGATAGGATAAAGTTCTAACAATTCTGAGAATCAGTTATCAGCCGTGTTCCTTCTGCGCATCAGCAAGGCACTGTGAAAATTGGCCTTTACTCTAGGTTAAAAGAGCTTACATTTCTATGATATTTAGTCAGGGTACTGATTTCCTCACTCTGATTATCACCACATTTGGGTGACAGATGGTGTGTCAGTGGTAATCCCAGCTACCCATCAGCTTGACCCTTTGCAGTGAGCCACCTCCTCCCAAACGATCATGCAGCACCCTCGTCCCCAAAATCTCACCAAGCCTTCTGAGCTACGCAGCCAAAGAGCTGCTTTAAACTGGTGAGTAATGGCTGTGTCAGCAGTCAGTAGATGAGCCTGAGGGTTGGGGAAGGGTTAATGGGCAGTGGGCGGGTATAAGAGCCCCATTGGATCCATTGTTAACACCAGACGTACAGTAAACATTTACTGTACTGTGAATTCATGCCAACTGCAAACACAAAAATAATGTGATTCAAATGATAATATGAATAGCTCGTTTGTTCTTTAACAGCATAAAACTGTAAATAATTCTGTTTTTTCTTCATGAGCATCTGGAAACAATACATACCTGAACTCAACTTTCCAGATCAAAAAAAAGTAAACCACATTAACAGAACATAAACTATCACCCTAACATTTTTGTACAGTCAAAAAAGGGCATGATAACCAGGTGACACAAAAATGTACCCCCCGGTATGACTCATTGTATAAATGCCACAGTTTTGAATTTTCTGAAATTGAAAAGTCTGCATCTGTCTCCTGATTTTGTGATAATTTGCGCACATTTTTTCTCTCTCTGACATGCCTTTTAGAAAGTACAACTCACTTTCATTTTGTAAAACAAAGTAGTGGCATTGTATTGTTAACTTCACAAAATATTGCAATGGTCAGTTAAGTTGCCTCATTTGCTGTAAGCTTCTTGTTTCCTCTGCATTTCCACGGGGGTCCTAATCTCATCTAAAGTCATCTGCCTTAATCCACAGCAGCAGAAGCAGTGGTTGAAGTAAATTAGGTCTTTGACTGATAGCCATCTGCCAACAAATGTATAAACAGTTTGTTTTACTGCTGCTAATGCAGAAATGAAATGTAGACAGAGAAAAGTAGATGTACGTAATCTGACATTAAAAATGACTTTAATGGAAAATGACAGATTATTTATTGAATCACTTTCAACATTTTGTTTTTAAAATTATTGGAAAAAAACACTGCTGATAGGAGCATAAATAATTACTCATGTGTTTTGAAGATGCAAGTTTTAGGTTTTTTTTAGAGATGGACCGATCCGATATTACGTGTTGGTCCGATACTGACGTAAATTGCTGGATCGGATATTGGAGAGAAATAAAAAATGTAATCTGATCCATTAAATATCAAAAAAAGCACCTCACAAAACTTGTGACACGGCATAACTCGGCTCATAACCGTAGCACGTCGCAGCAGTATGCATCACGTGGGCTGTGTGTATTTGTAGCCTTGCTACCAAACCAGCATTTAATCTCCGAGGAAGTTATCCCAGAGAGAAGTAAAGCAAGTGTGTAAGTTCATCTCTGAATGTTTGTAAAGCATTAAGCTTAACAACCGATATATGGAGCGACTGCCTCTCTCTCTCTCTCGCTCCCTCTCCTGCTGCTACTTCAATCATGAAACTGATTAATGATCAGCTGATCAGCTTTTCTGTCGCGAGTCCGTCTCTCTT